TATTGGGTCGCTATTTGGCGTCGCGTGTGCGTGCGCGTCTCTGTGTCGTGGTAGCACACTGTGCCCAGCCCCTTGTCGTGTTTGAGGCCACCGGCGAAGGAACGATCCAAGTTTACCTTCTATCCATGGTCCAAATGGAATACTATTATTGTCTCTCAATTGAACGACGCTGCAGGACACTCTTAATTAGCACGTAATGTCCGTGTCATTTTATTTTGTCTTTTTCTGATCTTTTTCCTTTAAGAGGTCAAGGTTGTTTAAAACTCATCTCGTTTTTGTTCCGCGCCAACCGGCGGAGAAGGGCAGGGCGGAGGACGAGAAAAAGTCTGTTGGCTCGCATTTATTCCTTTAATTAAACGGCCAAACAGCGACCGCGAGCGTCTTAATAAAGCCGACACGGCTATTATTGTACAAGTTGCTTCCAGCAGAAGTTCTTATCAATTTCATGTGCAATAGTTACACATTTAATACAAAACAGAAATAATACTGTATAATGAAGGGGTGTTTAGAACTTTATTTGAGGCCGAGCGGGTGAACGAAAAATGTACGAAAACCCCTTTTCATACAGTGCTCGGAGAATTTTAATACGGCCGAATGAGGTCGGTGGCTGAGCCCGCCTCGTCTCTCGGGACTGCGAACCGACCGCGCGCGCACGCAAAAAAATCTCACTCTTGGCGTTTCTTTTTCTACTATTATTGTTATTAATATTATTTTCGCTCGCTTTGGTGTAAGCCCTCCCCTGGGGGTGGGGGACCACCACGACAGCACAGTCCGCCCCCGCTTAAGTGCCCCGTCCCCCCTCTCTCCTCCCTATTTTCGCTCAGTGTCTCTTCCCTCCTACCCCCTACAACCGCCTGCCCCCGCGTCACCCCTCATCCCTCCCTCCAACTGTCCGCCATCCAACGGCGAAATAGCGACGTAGTTTGGCGGGTTTCGCCTATTTTACGCGAGTATGCCTAATTACCCGAGGCCATGCGACAATCCTAGAGGCTGGCTGGCACATGGAGCGCGTAGAGTGAGTCACTGCGGCCGCTAGCGGAGCTCCATGAAGGCCGCCGTGATTGGTCGGCTAAAGCGAATGTGAATGCGGAGGCTGCGCCGCTCTTCATTTATTTTCTGCTCGCTTCATCAGAGAGCGCGCTTTAACGACTATCTCGTTTCATTCCCCCTTTTCATTTTTACCCTCCTTTTTCGCTCGTTTTGCCGCGGGAATTGAGCGCGCGGAGAGCGGTAGGCAGAGAGAGAGAGAGAGAGAGCGCTCCCCAGGGGTGGCTGACTGCTGCCCGCGCTGCTGCCGTTTCACTAATTAAAAAACATTGTTTGGCAGGTCAGGAATGGAGCCGGCGACATGACCGCAACAAAGCAAGGCGACGATCCTCGGCAGCCCCGACCGCGGCGCCACCCGCCCGAAAGCACCTACAGCCCCAAGGATGCGACCCAAAGAGGGGTAAGTTCGCGGGAAATTTTCGAATTTTGTAAATTAAGGCACTGTCTAAAAACAAAAATAACCACTCGCCGGATGAGAATCAGGAACCAGGTCGCATCTCGCGGTCTCGTCGAGGCGATTATGTGATAGCGCCGGCCGTTATCGCTCGCGGTGTGCGGCGTGGGCGGGCCGGGAAGGTATTAAGCGCCGATAAAACGACTTTCCCACAGCGAAAGACTCTCTGTCTATCGCCGGGCCACGCGGCGCGCGCCCGATGCCGCGCCGACATTCTAAAATTTTAAAGTGAGGCGCGCGGCGCGTCAGATAACGTGTCGCTTGCTTTATTACGCGGGCATTAGCATAGTGTGAACAACACGCTTTAAAGCGACGCGATCAATTTGAGCCTAATGCTCCGCGCACGCGCCCCGCCCCGCCACCCCCCTGGCCGCACCGCAGCGCGGCCGCCACACCCCACACCGCCGCGCCACGCCCCGCCGCGCCACGCCCCCTTTAAACTCGTAGAGGGCTGCGGGCTGCGCGCCGCCCAGGGGATCTGATTGCAAACCTCTCATAAATATTCTAACGAGATAAGGTTTGATTGTCTCTGGCCTAGCAGCTTCCCACACACAAACACTGCTCTCTCTCTCTCTCTCTCTCTCTCTCTCTCTCTCTCTCTCTCTCTCTCTCTCTCCTCTCACTCCCTTTCCATGCCCACTCACACACACACACAGTGACGTGGGAGTTTACGTACGAATGCAAAACGCCCTTCTTGTATGTGGTTATTTTTTTTCTATTTTATTTTTTTCGACGGTTGGGGTTGGGTTGCTCATGTCTTCGATGCTTGCAACCTTGCAGGAATGGTTGGTGAAAGGGAAGGGAGGCTGTTTTGCGTGGCACAGCAGAGAGGGGCGTCAAGGAGTCGCTGCACTGCCGCGCACGCGGTCCTACATGTGATCACATCGATGTGTGGGCCGGATCGACGGAAACATCATTTTATTTTTATGTTTTGTTATTATTGTTTCCCGAGTTTTCTCTTCCGTGAAGCAATCATACGTATCCCGCTGTGTGCGGTCCGCGCCCCTTATCCGCACGCGGCCGGCGCGTGGCGAGGCGTGGTGGCGCGTGGCGCGGGGGCGTGACGCTGCGGGGAGGTGACGAACGATACCCGCCGCAAGGAAAACAACAAATCTGCTACAAGCGCGGCAACAAGTTTGTGACGAAGGCATGATGCCGTGGAGAGCTGCGCGGCACACAGTCAAAACAAAGTCTGATTTTTTGAGGTATAAAGTCTTAAGAACTCTCAGAACCCACTCTTGGTTCAAGGGAACCTCCTCAAATTTCGATGAAGACTCCTAAAAAAAATGTGGGATTTTCCCTTATTTATCGCCTTTTTCCTCCAAAAACAGACATTGTTTTTATAGTCAACTTGCGCACTATTTTTTTTTTTTTTTGTGGACTTGGGTGGGTACATTGGCGATTAAAACCCACAAGTTTTTTGGTTTTCTACATCCAAATACGAGTTTTTATACAATCCAAATTAGTGCGTTACGTAACGTTATTCAACGTAAACTATTATCAACAGTCAGTTTTCTTCAGTTTTCTAGTGCCCGAGCACCGCCCCCCCCCCCCCTTTCTCTGCCCCGCCTCGCGGGCCCTTTTCCCGGATCCCATTATGTACCCGGCGGGTGGCCAAAGTTGGGTCACGTGCCCGGGGAGCCGTGATACACCCCTTACCACCCACTCGGGGGGCCGGGCCCGGGTCCGGGGCTGCGGCCCTTATTCTTCCCACTCTTTTAATATCAATAAATTGACCTTTTGCTAAAGTTTTGATGCAGCCAAGATGTCCTCACTTCGTATACAGCCACCGTCGATTTATTTTTTGCCGCGTTTTTTTCATTTGCAGCAGCAGTTTTTTTTTTACTCTATCAGAAGTAAAAAGTTGATTGGCATTTGTTAAAATAATGCCCGGGGGGAGGGGGGGATACCTCCCACAGCGTCATTGACAGAAAGTTAAAACTTTGCTATAAATCCTCTCTGGCTCGTTTCACATACACCAGTCACAATATTTATAAATAAAAGCGGCCCGCGCACTGACAGGCTAATCGTCCAGGGGCGTGGCCCTGCGCGGTGCGCGACGCGGCGAGCAACGCGGCAGAGGGGCTTTGACACGATCAATCGAATCCACAGGGATCAGGCGGTTGATGAATTGCCCGCGAGGGTCCGACCTGGCCTGGCACCCACCACCAGCGACATCTGACATGAACACACACTCACGAGCCGGAACAACCAATTTTTTTTTTCTCCCCTTCCCGCTCTCTATCGCTAAAGCCGAACCGTGCGTTTCCTCGCTTCGATTTTGATAAAACAAATCCCCGCGTTGGATACGACGGCGGGGGTGTGAGTCGCAAAGAGAACGGGTACCTCCTCACTGGCTCACAACTCGTTTGTGTTTTGACAGACTTTTCGTGGTGCCTCCATCTTAATTTTTCTTAAATGATATAATTATGGGAACTGAAAGGTCGATTTCAATTCTATATGTCATAGTGCGAGATTTTTTTTTTTAAGAATTAATAACGAGTGAACCCAGTTGTGACTGATGACCGGTTTGCTTCGCTCCTCCCTGTTGCCCCTAAACTCCGCGCCCTCCCTCCCTTCCTCCCTCCCTCCCTCCCCTCCCTCTTTCTCTCCCGCGGCGCCCGTTTAGCATCAAGTGGCGAGCGAGTCCGTGTAAAACCGCGGCCTAATACCCGAAGGGGTGGGCGCGGGCAGAGCGGACAGGGGCATCGCCTCGTTAGTCATGGGCTATCTTTCCCCTGGCGAATAGTTTGGCGAAAGAAAACAAAGAGATGGAGTGAGAGGGGGAAAGAGTCTCGCGGAGTTTGTGATATCGCTCTACGAAAAGTTTGCCTACTTTTCCATGGCCCTATTCGTTCGTCTTGTTTCCTCCGCACTTTCGCCTGTTATTTATTTCGGCCGGGTCCAGCCTGGCTGTTGTGTATCGCGCGAAGGCTTTTGATGAGGGGGGGATGGAGACAACGCAGTGGAAGAGAAGGGGCAGGGAGAGGTGGGGGCAGAGGGGGAGCAGAGAAAAGTGCCCAATCCGACAAAGCGACTCCCAACATGTAGTGCTGTCCTAGTCGCACATGGGCTATGCGGAAAGGGGAGGGGGTGCGATGATGCGAACGCAGCCAGAGGCCCCGCAACGAATCAAATCAATCGGGAATCTCATCAAATTAAAAGAGTTTTGTTGTTTTCGTTCGGCCATTCAGGGAGTGAGGGAAACGGGGCGG